AACTTGGACACTAACCCCATCCCACCCCCCGGGTGCCCACCTGAAACTGGATTATTTTTAGTCAGGGTGGAGACGGGTTGGAGCCCCTGTCAGGATTTCCCCTCACTTCCTGTCCTGTTGTCACTCATACAGGAAGTGAGGAGAGATCACCCCCAATGAGGTCACATACAGGAATAAGATCCGGACCCGACACATACTGCGGCGGCGCTCAGATCGGTCTCATTACCAGGAACAAAGATGGCTGACATCTGCCCCCCACCTCCCAAGCCCCCGCCGGCCGGACACGTGTGCTGCATTACAGCGCTGGGCTCACACTTTCCGCTCTTCATATTGGTGAGAAGGGGAAGAAGAAGCAGGTGGAGCGGCTCCGGCGGGAGCGCCGGCGGTGATGGGAAACAATTTCACTGCTCCCACGGCGAGTGTTTAGGGAAGCGCAAGGCCAGCGAGGGCGGGCGGGGGAGGGGGAGTCCGCCGATCGGGAGGACGGAATGTAACATCTGTGCACAAACACTCGCCGAGCGGAATCATCCAGCCGAGCAAAGTGCGTCTATGTGCACCGCCGCGCCAGAAAACGCACGTGCACTTCACTCGCAGCTCGCTACGCAGGTTAATGCCCTTTTTTATTGCTTTACGTTAAATCGTAACACAACGCATCATCAGACATGTGACTCGGAAAACGCATCGTCTCACCGGAGATACGGACATGTGACTCGGAAAACTCACTTCCTGTTCTAATGACAACTGTAAATCTTTGTTTTTTCCCATCACTTCCTGTCTCAGAGACAACGATCACCGGTGGTGAATCTTAATGCATATTCCATACCGGCATCAGGAACACACGTTCCTTATAAAAATCCCCGGTGATCCCGCCATGGAGGTCCTTGCTCAGACACTTCCTGTTATAGGGTGACAATGCTCTGTCCTTGTCCAGCCACTTCCTGTTATAGGGTGACAACGCTCTGTCCTTGTCCAGCCACTTCCTGTTATAGGGTGACAACACTCTGTCCTTGTTCAGACACTTCCTGTTATAGGGTGACGACGCTCTGTCCTTGTTCAGACACTTCCTGTTATAGGGTGACAATGCTCTGTCCTTGTCCAGACACTTCCTGTTATACGATGACAACGCTCTGTTCTTATTCAGACACTTCCTGTTATAGGGTGACAACGCTCTGTCCCTTCCTCCCAATTGCTCTCCTTGGTTGTCACCCGAGCTTCGGATGGAGACCGGTTCACACACATTGCACAGGCGCGGTCCACTGTTGTCACCATCAGCAAACCGGCCCTGAGAAATGTCACGCAGATATCTAGGTGATATAGGGTGACAATGCTCTGTCCTTGTTCAGACACTTCCTGTTATAGGGTGACGACGCTCTGTCCTTGTTCAGGCACTTCCTGTTATAGGGTGACAATGCTCTGTCCTTGTTCAGACACTTCCTGTTATAGGGTGACAATGCT